GGGGGGATGCCATTAGGGACTGGCTGGTTGGTGAATTCTGAGCCATATTTGGGGGGTTCTTGTGATTTTTCTGCCTCCAGTGGGTTATTTCTGAAGGCCCCTCTGGTGGGGAAGCCCCATGGAGGGGGCGGTGACTGCGGCGGGAGGGGGATGATGAGTGGGCGTTGGGCAGCAGGTGACAATGCAAACCACAGGGAAACCTGGGGGAAAGCCCAGGGGTTGGTGCCCGGGCAGACTGACCCTGGCCCACGAGCTGCTATCCCGTTACTGCGTGTGTTCCCTTGTTCCCATCTGTATAGCGGGTTGAGCCATTGCCAGGAAGGAGCCAGCCCTCCGCTCTCCCCGGGTGTCCCAGGAGCTTCGCCCCAGCCCAACTCCCGCGTGATGTGGCTCCTCGCGGTGCAGGCCCTGGTGGCCCTGTGTGTCCTGCACCTGCCGCTCAGCAGCACCCAGGTAAGGAGACTGACCAGAGAGTTGCTAACAAAGCCTCGCTTTTAAAGAAAGGGGAAAAAGTGATCCGGGAAACTCCAGGCCTGTTAGTTTAACCTCAATTGTATGCAAGGGCTTGGAACCAATTTCGAAAGTGCAAGTAGTTAAGAACATAGACGCGAAAGGTAGTTGGAATAAAATACAACACGGGTCTCTGAAAGGGAGATGGTGCCAGACCAACCTGCTCTGCTTTGAGAAGAGAACGGATGTTTTTAGATGAAGGAAATGCACTTGATCTAGTCTGTCTGGATTTTAGTACAGCGTTGGGTACAGTTCCACTCTGGAAATTATTAGTTAAACTCGGATTAATCTGAGAATTGAAGGGTGGGAAGGGAACTGGTTAAAGGGCAGACTACAACGGGTCATACTGAAAGGTGAATTGTCAGGCTGGAGGGAGGTTACCAGTGGAGTTCCTCAGGGATCCGTCTTGGGACCAGTCTTATTTACCATTTTTATTAACGACCTTGGCACAAAAAGCAGGAGTGCGCTAATAAAAATTGCGGCTGACACAAAGCTGGGAGGTATTGCCAATACAGAGGAGGACCAGAGTGTCATACAAGAAGATCTGGAGAACCTTGCAAACTGGAGTAATAGAAATGGGATGAAATTTAATAGTGCAAAACGCAAGGTCATGCGCTCAGGGACTCACAACAAACAAGCAGTTTTGCTTTAAGCTGGGGACGGATCAGTTGGCAGCGACAGAGGAGAAAGACCTGGCTGTATTGGTTTACACAGGACGAGGTGAGTCGCCAACATGATGCGGCCATGAAAAAGGCTAATGCAATCTTAGGACACACCCTGTCCCCTGCACTACAGTCCGCACACGCCTCCCCCCACCTGGGGAATGGGCTGCCGGAGCGGCTGTGGCTGCAGTATGCGGAAAGGGGAGCGAAGGGACCTCGCTGTGGAGCTGAGCTGGGGATCCCTGGAGCACGTGGCCTGACGCACAGTTGTAAAGTGTCTTGAATCCGATGCGGAAGAGAGAACGATCAGACGGAGCAGCCCTGTGTGGGCTTTGTGCGAGTGACGAGGAGCACCAACCAGCAGCGTCCCCAAAGGGGTTCCCAGCCGCCCCGCAGCGCGCCTGGCAGCCCTTGGAACAGACAGCCGAGCCCAGCCTTCGAATGCAGGGCGCCGTGGAGCGCGTGCGTGGGCTCTGGGAAATAGTTAACTGGCTGACGTATCTGATCTCCGGAGTCGCCCTGCAGACTCCAGCTCCGCTTTAGCTGCAGCCACGTCTCTGCACCACGGACTCTCAGGTACAGCCTGGCCTGAGGGCCTGCTCCCGTTGCCTGCCTCTCAGCCCGTCAGGGTGCCCCCAGCACTCAGTGCTGCTGCGTGAGGAGGTGTTAAGAGATGCTGAAATCAGGGCAGGAAATTCCCTGAGGCCTCTGCAGTGCCTCCGATCCTGCCCCACGTCCCTGTGGTGCCAGGGCAGAGGCTGAATCTCCGGGCTGCCTGCCTGGGCCGGGGCGTTCTGACAGCCCTGCTGAAAGCCTCAGTCACGGGCCTGGATCCTGCCCCCGCGTCGCTGTCTTTCCCTTCCACTCTTGTTCTGTTCAGCCTCTAGGAAACCTGCTCCAATAAATAGGGTTTTCCAGGGCGTGAGGTGATGGGCCCGGGCCCTGGCCCTGGCTGCCAGGGGGCGTCTCCCAGGACTCAGCAGCATTTAGCTACAGCCTTCGGGGAGCTTTCTGTGCACTTTGCTCAGGACTGGCCCTTAAGGGTACATCTACACTGCACTGTAAGCCTGGAGCTCAAACTCAGGCTTTACCCCTCTTCCGTCCACACACACATCATGCTAAACCAGGGCGCAGACCCAGGCTCCCAGGACCTCATGAGGATGAAGGATCCAAATCTGAGTCAAGCCGGGACCCAGCGTTCACACCCTCTTGCTTTGCAGTATAGATGCAGCACCACTGGACTCGTGTCCACCAAACATATCCCACAATCCCACGGGCCGACTCTCTGTGACCTGTGGACTGCCATGTTTCCCGACACAGCACCACGAGCAAAGGGCCTGAGCGGATATTTTTTGAGTGGGCGCTAGGAAGTCTGGGAGATGGGTGGCTGGACATGGGCCCACGTAAGGCAGAGCCCCAGGTTGGGATCCAGGGGTCCACAGCTCCTACAAATGAGTGTAGCCGTTCATGCCCTAGGTTAGCATCGCCAGGGCCTGCTGACTCGAGTTCTGCTACGCTGGCCTTGCAGTGCAGCCAGACCCGGGTGTCCCGTGTGTTTGCCCCCAGGACTGCCTGAGCAAGCGCCAGGTGCTGAGCGCCATTCAGCAGATGCAGAAGCTGCTGTCCGCACAGGAGGCCGCCCGGCTGCAGGGGATGCGCAGCCTCAAGAAGCAGCTCACGGTCCTGCAAAGCAACATCCACACGCAGGCCACCGGCCACAACGGTAATGCAAACTCTGGTGCACCGGTTGCTGCCCGACGCTCCCCTGGTGAAGCTGGTGCAAACGCCTCGGGCTGGGCGGTGCTAGGTGCTAGGGTTGCCAGGTGTCCAGTTTTCGACTGGAATGCCTGGGCGAGAAGGGACCTTGGCGGCTCCAGTCAGCGCTGCCGACCGGGCCGTTAAAAGTCCAGTCGGCCGTGCTGCAGGGCTAAGGCAGGCTAGTCCTGACCTGTCCTGGCACCGCACTGCGCCCCGGAAGCAGCCAGCAGGTCCGGCTCCTAGGCTGGGCGGGGGGAGCCAGAGGGCTCTGCGCACTGCCCCCGCCCCGGACACCGACTCCACACTCCCATTGTCCAGGAACCACAGCCAATGGGTG